TTTGTATTTTTGGTAGAGACGGGATTTCACCATGTTGACCAGGATGGTCTCGATCTCTCGACCTCGTGATCCACCAGCCTCGGCCTCCCAAAGTGCTGGGATTACAGGCTTGAGCCACCGCGCCCGGCCTGTACATACTCTTTTGAATCAGAAATTAGGAAAACCCTGGGCTGGGAACAGTGGTTCACATCTGTAATCTCAGCACTTTGGGAGGCCAAGGAGGACAGATCACCTGAGATCAGGAGTTTGAGACCAGCCTGGCCAACATGGCAGAACCCTATCTGTGCTAAAAAAAATTATCCAGGCATGGTGGTGCATGCCTGTAGTCCCAGCTACTGCAGAAGCTGGGGCAGGAGAATCACTTGAACTTGGGAGGTGGAGGCTGTAGTGAGCTGAGATTGTGCCCCTGCATTGTCCATAGAAGTTCAGCTTGCAGAGGTGAAGAAGGAAACTCCTCCCTTCCCCCTCTGAAGTTTCACTGAAAATAAACTGAAAAAAGGCAGATTAATAGAAGAAAAAGGCATGCAAATTTATTGATGAGAGGGGGAAATTGGGGATCACAAAGTAATTACCCAGATAATCTTATGGTGCCCAGATGCCCCCAGATGCTTATATAACTTTCTTCATAGACAGGGGAAAGGTAGGTAATCCTTTTGAGGGAAAATAAATGATTATTAGGGAGAATGAACGGACCTTGGAGAACATAAACTAAGCTGTAAATGGTCCTCTTTGCATATGAGTGAGCCCTAGAAACAGACCTGATCTTGTGAAAAGGTCTGTTGAGGTGTGATCACATTCCTCGGTCTTTTTTTTTTTTTTTCAGTAGATAATGAAATATGTGGGAGGTGATGGAAAGCAGTTGTTTTCTTTGGTGGATCCTGTTTGTTGCTGCTGTTATTTTTATTTATTTATTTTGAGACAGAGTCTCACTCTGTCACCAGGCGCCAGGCTGGAGTGCAGCGGCGCAATCTCGGTTCACTGCAACCTCTGCCTCCCAGGATCAAGCAATTCTCCTGCCTCAGCCTCCCGAGTAGCTGGGACTATAGGAGCCCACCACCATGCCTGGCTATTATGAAAAGTGCAGTTGTGGAGTAATATGATTGGAGGACAAAAGGGTATGCTCAGCAGGTCACAGTGGCTCATGGCTGTAATACCAGCAATTGGGAGGCTGAGGTAGGAGGATCACTTGAGCCCAGGAGTTCCAGACCAGCCTGGACAACATAGCAAGACACCATCTCTAAAAAAAAAATAAAAAATTAGCTGGGCATGGTGGCATGGCCTGTAGTCCCAGCTATTTAGAGACTTAGGTGGGAGGATTGCTTGAGCCTTGGAGATGAAGGCTGCAGTGAGCTGTGACTGCCACTGTACTTCACCATAGGTGACAGAGAGAATCTGTTTAAACAAAAAAAGGTATGATCCAATGATAATAAACTCAGTGAAACCTAGTAAGGCCTGTTTGTTTAGATTATTTTTCTTTGTGTCTTCAGAAATAAAGATGTTCCTTTCCTCTGGCTACAGGAAGGGTACCTCTTGAATAAGGGTCTTATGACCTGCTTCGGGGGAGAAGGGAGAGGAGAAGGAATGGTGAGAGTGACCTTCCTGCTCCTGCTTTCTCAAATGCCACAGTGCCATGTTTTAGGGTAGCATGTTTTGACTCCATCAGAACAAAAATATAACAAGAATTATGGCCATGTTGGTCAGGCTGGTCTTGAACTCCTGACTGCAGGTGATCCTGCAGCCTTGAACTCCTGGGTTCAAGCGATCATTCTGTCTTAGCCTCCCAAGCAGCTGGAACTATAGGTGTGTACCACCATGCCCAGCTAATTTTTAAATTGTTGGCCGGGTGCAGTGGCTCACGCCTGTAATCCCAGCACTCTGGGAGGCCGAAGTGGGCAGATCACCTGAGGTCGGGAGTTCAAGACCAGCCTGACCACCATGGTGAAACCCCGTCCTGTAAAAAAAAAAATAAAAAATAAAATAAAATAAAATTTGATTGTAGAGATGGGGGTCTCACTGTGTGTGGCCATTAACTAATTTTTTTCTCTTTTTGAGACATAGTCTCGATGTTGCCCAGGCTGGCGTGCAATGGCGTGATCTCGGCTCACTGCAACCAATTACAGGCATGAGCCACTATACCTGACGAGGTATTCTTTTTAGAAAAATGTGATATTATTAACATTATACTTTCAAAATGTGAAGCAGTATAAAAATATTGGCTAGGTGCAGTGGCTCACACCTGTAATCCCAGCACTTTGGGAGGCTGAGGCGGGCAGATCACCTGAGGTCAGGGGTTTGAGACCAGCCTGGCCAACATGGCAAAACCTCGTCTCTACTAAAAACACAAAATTAGCCAGGTTTGGTGGCACGTGCCTGTAATCCCAGCTCCTCAAGAGGCTGAGGCGGAGAACTGCTTGAACCTGGGAGGCAGAGTTTGCAGTGAGCTGAAATCGTGCCACTGCACTCTAGCCTGGGCGGCAGAGTGAGACTCCATCTCAAAAAAAAAAAAAAAAAAAATTAGCCGGGCATGGTGGCACACACCTGTAGTCCCAGCTACTCGGGAGGTTGAGGAAGGAGAATCGCTTGAATCAGAGAGGCAGAGGTTGCAGTGAGCTGAGATCACCCCAAAGCACTCTAGCCTGGGCAAGAGTGAGACTCCACCTCAAAAAAAAAAAAGGCCTATTTTGTGTACTTTTTGGTTTACAACTGTATGCATGTCTGAATATGTTTGTACATACATTATGTATATGCATATGCTCCATAATTGTCACAGATGTGCTAAATAAGTTAGTTGCTGCATGACCGTTAGCTTTTTCACACCCCGTAGGCATGGCTGGCTGTGTAACTGCAGCTGCTGTTTGCAGAGCCTGGGTTCCTATATCTGAGCCAGTCTGTACTGTACAACCAGGTGACCACAAATTTTGCTCAGAGAACCCTCAACAACTTTGAGTTTTTCTAAGTTTGGTCAGCTGCAGGTGGAAGCAGAAATACCTGTGGTCTTGATTCTGAACATTCCATGTTCAGAGGCTGGGGGAGTCTCATTTTAATAAGCCCCTCAGGACATGTGATCTGCACTCACTTTTAGGATCTCCAGGACTGTGCACCAATTCCTGATTGCTGACTCTGTCTTTGGTCTCACAGGCCCTGTTGACACTTTGTCTGCCCGCATGAGCATGACTATCATGCCTCCCTGTTGTTAGCCATAACGCCATATCCCTGAGCTTGGTGCTGGGTCTTCAGGCTCAGTCTGCTCACACTGCCCTGTATTTCCATGCTCTGTTGAGTCGCTGACTTCTGGGACCCTGAGGTCCCAAAAGAAGTGGCAGAAGCAGCAGACAGCACATAATCAGCTCCCCCCACAGGCCCCACTCACAATAGGGGACCTGCACTGGAGCCCTAGATCATGGATCTGTTCCAAGGGGAGCAGATCACTTGAACTCAGGAGTTTGAGACCAGCCTGGGCAACATGGTGAAACCCTGTCTCTATTTAAAACCAAAACCAAACTTGCTCATTTCCTCTGTACACATTCTTTCTGGCTCCTTCAAACATCTTTTGTAAACACAGGTGTCACTGTTGTGGTTAAAATCCTTCAGTAGCTCCCTGTTCTTGGGATCTAGCCAGGATCCCTGACTGGCCTACTGGCCTTGCTGACCTCTGCAACCTCATCTTCTCCATTCTCTCTCTCTCTCTTTTTAAATTCAGTCTCCATAGAGACTGTCAAAAATTGCCAGTGCCCACTATATTGCAAGTCGTCACAGCGAGGTATTGGGAAAAGTTTTCTTTCTTTCTTTTTTTTTTTGAGACGGAGTTTCACTCTTGTTACCCAGGCTGGAGTGCAATGGCGCGATCTCGGCTCACCACAACCTCTGCCTCCTGGGTTCAAGCAATTCTCCTGCCTCAGCCTCCAGAGTAGCTGGGATTACAGGCACACGCAACCATGCCCAGCTAATTTTTTGTATTTTTAGTAGAGACGGGGTTTCACCATGTTGACCAGGATGGTCTCGATCTCTTGACCTCGTGATCCACCCGCCTCGGCCTCCCAAAGTGCTGGGATTACAGTCTTGAGCCACCGCGCCCGGCGGGAAAAGTTTTCAATTAGCAATAATCGCACCTCGGACAAACCTCATTGGCTACGATACTGCCACTGTGGAAAGCTATCTTCTCCATTCTCTACGTGCCCTGGCCCCCAACCCCTCCTACCCACTATCTTGCCATTGTCTTACCAGGCCAGGCTCTCTCTTGCTCTGACCGACTCCCCTTTACTCAGAAAACTCCTGCTCGTTCTTCAGTTCTCCAAGATCACTTCCCTGACCCCAAGACTAGATTGAGTCCCTTGCTTATTCATGGTTATAGCACGCTGGGTTTCTCTTTACTAATACTTGTCAACGTTTAAATTCTCCATTTACTTGAGCAATTATGTCACTAATGTCTGCTTGTCCGCTCGATGGTAAAGTTCGTCCGAGCAGGGCCCTGAGTGTGCTCTCATTGCCTTTGCAGTACCTAGCAATGTGCCAGGCAGGTATTCACCGGATGGATGTATTACTCGCTCCAGGAAAGAGGGCCCCAACCTGGGTGGGTGTAGAGACCCTGGAAGTCGATCAAAGCAGCTACGTGTGTAAGTCCCCAGAACTGAGGGCATCCTATCGATCTGTGACCCGGGCCCCCGATGTCGCTCGAGATGAGGCGGTGCCCGGGGAACCCCAGGGCAAGAAGGACACAGCATAGCTCTAATTGGCATCCAGCTGCCAACTGGAATGGGGCGCCCAGACTCTGTGCTTAGGGACCCCCCCGCCTCCCGGTTCCCCGCAGGGTCGACCGCGAAGGGCCCTTGCAGCCTTGGGTAGACCCAGGGCAGGCTCCACGGGCTGCGGCAATCTGATGAGCCAGGAGCCACTCCGTGCCCCGACAGGCCGCCGCTCCGGGCGAGGGCGCTCCAGGTTGGTCTTCTGGAGCAGTCGTGCGCTGACAGCGCCCCTCTGGCCGGCAGGCGGTGGCGCAGTGCTCGTCGGGAAGGCGGCGGGCTATCCGGTCCTCGGCTGCGGCTGGCACCATGGTCGGTGGCGAGGCAGCCGCCGCAGTGGAGGAGCTGGTCTCGGGGGTGCGGCAGGCGGCCGACTTCGCGGAGCAGTTCCGCTCCTACTCAGAGAGCGAGAAGCAATGGAAGGCCCGCATGGAATTCATCCTGCGCCACCTGCCCGACTACCGCGACCCGCCTGACGGCGGTGGCCGCCTGGACCAGCTGCTGTCCCTCTCCATGGTTTGGGCCAACCACCTCTTCCTGGGCTGCAGGTGCGGACCCCTGCCGGCCGGCTGATCCTGTCCCCTGTGTTCCGATCCTCAAGCCCTCTTCCAGGGCTCAGCCCTGACTGGAATCTCTGCCCCAGACTGAACCCGCGCCCAACCTCCATCCTTATTGGCCGGCCCGAAGGCTGATTCCCACCTAGGAGGCACCTTGGAAAGATCCTTATCTTTGAGCCTCAGTTTTCTCTTTTGGTAAATGGGTAGTTATGATGACTGTAATAATTAAAGGGTGAAGAGCTAAATACATGGCGAACTAAAAAGTTGCTATTGTTATTTGTATTACTATTATTATTAGCTCAAACCATCACCTTTGCAGGGTGCATTCCAAGTCCGTTAGCTCCTGTCATTCACATGGCAAACGTGCAGAGTCAAAAACGGAGATTCCCATTTTACAGGTGAAAAAGCTTAGGGAGGGAAGCGATATACCTGGGGTCATGCAGCTTCTGGCAAGATTGGTGGATTTTAACCACTAATGACAGGATGTAATCTGTATCCTGTGGCTTTTTCTCCTCGTTCCACAGCCCACTGGGTCCTAAGTAGGAACCAGCTTCATCTCTCTGCTTTCCCTCTTATGAAAATGGCCGATGCCTTTTTGGCAAGGTCCCAAAGCCCATTGCATCCTGTCTGCTGCACCAAAAGGCCAGAGGCCCACTTTTGAAGTGCCTGATAAGGCATTCCCTTCACCCCTCCATGAAGAAGGTGGCAAATCTTGAGGTTCCCTATTAGCTTCATTTTTCCTGAAATTGTGTTAGGAAAATAGGGTGACTTGGCTTGATCTTGGTTTCTATACCAATTATGGCTGCCTGACTCTGATCACTTGGCCCCTCCAGGCCTAAGCCACTTGGTCTTGCTTTACTTGTTGGGATTTATTAGAACAGTATGTAGAGAAGCAATGCCAGAGATACTCATCCTTTTTTCCTGCCTTCTAGGTTCTCCTTGGAAATCCTGGTTTACAGGATCTATGATTAGGCAAATGTCAGAGAATTGGGCAAATAAATAATGTCTTTGTTAGACTAACATTCCATGTATTTAAAAAATAAAAATACTTTTGCCCTCATCCCGTATCTGAGAATATGTATTGCTGGATGTACAGTGCCTCTTCTTGTAAATCTTGAAACATCTGCTTTACTGGCATTCCTAAAGTCCACTTCTGTATCTACAAGCAAGAAGTGTTCACAGGGCCAGGTGTGGTGGCTCACACCTGTAATTCCAGCACTTTGGGAAGCTGAGGCAGGAGGATCGCTTGAGGTCAGGAGTCCAGCCTGGCCAACATGGTGAAATCCCATCTCCACTAAAAATACAAAAATTAGCAAGGCATGTTGGCAGGTGCCTACAATCCCAGCTACTCGGGAGGCTGAAGCAGGAGAATTGCTTGAACCTGGGAGGCGGAGATTGCAGTTAGCTGAGACTGCGCCACTGCACTCCAGCATGGGCAACAGAGCAAGCCTCCAGCTCAAAAAAAAAAAAAACAAAACAAAAAACAAAACAAAACAAAAAAGAAGTGTTCATTGATCTTGTGCTGAACATATATAGGTTTGCCTTGCACTATCAGATCAGTTCTCTAAAAGTTGATTCTGTGGTTGAGCAACCTGCAATTTCTTGTTAATCCACAGTGACAATTCTTCCAAGGTTTTTACCTTACTACTTTTTATTGTGCAGTTACAATAAAGACCTTTTAGACAAGGTGATGGAAATGGCTGATGGGATTGAAGTGGAAGACCTGCCACAATTTACTACCAGAAGTGAATTAATGAAAAAGGTAAATCGGATTTCCAAGTGCATGTGATGAAATGGTGTAGAGTTAACAGTCCCTGCTTTGATGACACTATATTAGAGTATATTGTTTTTGAATGCTCTTGTTTACTACCCCAAAGACCTATACCCTTTCATTTTTATTTCCCCATAATTGGTATAAGCCTTTTCATAACTAGTTAACAACTCATGGTGATAAATTATGCATTGTTGATGAGGTGACACATAAACTTAGCCTCTTCCAGTTGTTTAGGAACATTATTTTGAGATTTTTGCTTGATGTTTAAAAAAATGTTGGCTAGAATACTGAAGTTTCTTACTTGTTAAAAAATCTTGTTGGTAATAGAGTGACTAACTCATCCTTACCCAGTTGTGAGTGTTGAGCTGACTTGTTTGGCTTCTCTGATTTGCTGATAGGAATGTGGCTGGAGCAATGTCAACACCATAGCTGTTCTCTATCCTGTGGGGTCTGATCTCAGGTGATGGGCTTTTTACAGTGAATCTTGCCTGGAGTCTTGAATCTGGACCCCGGAGCTGGGGCTATAGAGAGTGTAGCACAAAGAACCTCTGAGTATGGGACTGGGCATCCCAGGTATTAATGCTTTTCAGAATCACCCCCAATACATGCTTATTTCACATTTGTCTGCTCAGACAGGAGAATTAATTGCTCGCTTATCTTCCAGAGTTCTTTTGGCATTTTATCCAGGCTTCTTTTAAAGCAGTTGTGACCTTGAGGGACGAGATGGTGTCTAAAGTTTTATTTAGTCTTTAGAACACCCAAACCTAGTATAGTTACATCCCAGAGAAGGTACTCAGAAACTACTGAGAAAATCGACTGAAACAATAGAGTAAAAAGCTGCTGGCCCCTTTTCAGTTCTGCCCTTAGAAACATAGGTAAGCTCCTCTCTCCACATTTAGGTCTTGTCTTGGGAGGTGGGGCACATATAGAGGTCTTCTGTCAAATCCTCAGTTGCTCAGAAAGTATTTCAGCCCCAACTAGCACATCCCACTTGATTTTCAGGATGGTTTGTTTTTTTTAAAAGAGTATTCTTCTAGTTTTAATCTGAACCTGGGGAAAAGCTTCAGGTTGGTTTTCGAGATGTTATTATGTTTTTAAAATCAGCTGTTAACACAGTACTCCTGAAAAATAAGTAAAATCAGCTGTTAAAATGGGGTTACTGTTTTTGGCCAGGGAGCAATGTGAATTGGGAGTTCGTGGCTTTTTGGATCTTTTCATGTAATACTCAAAAAAATAACTGGACAGTCCTTGGGTGTCCTATGAAGTTCTTGGGGCCCAGCCAGGGAGAGGCTAGATAGTTTCTGGCTACTGGAGTATACCTCATGGAGCTGGAGCAGGAGCAGCGGTAAGCAGGGAATGGGGTAAGCCTTTATTTTTAGTTTATTTTTTAGACAAAGTCTCAGTTTGTCACCGAGGCTGGAGTACAATGGCACGATCTCAGCTCACTGCTCCCTCTGCCTCCTCAGTTCAAGCAACTCTCCTGTCTCAGCTTTCCTAGTAGCTGGGATTACAGCCGTATACCACCACACACAGCTAATTTTTGTATTTAGTAGAGACAGGGTTTTGCCATGTTGTCCAGCTGGTCTTGAACTCTTGTCCTCAAGTAATCTGCCCACCTCAGTCTCCTAAATTGCTAGGATTACAGGCGTGAGCCACTGCACCCAGCTGAGACTTTATTTTTTAACTGCTGGTGGTAGATTCTTTACTTGCTTTTTGTTCCTAAGGGGTTTTCTGATTTTCTTACCTCGGTTCTACATTGTACTTCTCTGTCTTGTATGTTTTCTGTTTCACCCCAGGTAGCTGAACTCTTTCCAGTCATGCTGGGTGTAAGTGATGAGAACACTTAATGACATTTGGTCTGTAGACCCCAATAGGGGGCTAAGGAGGTTTGGCACGTCCTAAATATTATTGTAGACCAGTGTGAAGTGTGTGTGTGTGTGTGTGTGTGTGTGTGTGTGTGTGTGTTAAGAAGGGTCTTTCTGAAACATCCTAAAAGGGTCTTATATCTCAAAAATGTAAACAGCCCCTGCCCTGGGATGTTCATTTTTGACACTGTCACTGCACAGTGTGAGCCTACAGAGAAAAGTCCTCGGGAGTGAAATTACCATCTTGAAATCAGTGCCACCATCTTACTCATCATTAGCAGTTAGCTACATGTATATAGAGGCCATACTTCTACAGCATATTTGAATTGTGTGTTACAACTTCCTTCAAATAAAACTTACGTTTTTTTAAGTAACCAGGTTTAATTTTAGTCTGTTGATGCCACTGTAAGTGAAATTTGGCTGATCCTGAAAAGTGAGATACTTAGAGGGTGCATAGAGTTTTACCAGTTTTATTTTGAGACAGACTAACTGCAGCCATGACCTCCCAGGCTCAAGTGATCCTTGTACCTCAGCCTCCCTAGTAGCTGGGACTACAGGCCTGCGCCACCACGCTTGGCTAATTATTGTAGAGACCGTGTTTCACTGTGTTCCTCAGGCTGGTCTCAAACTCCTGGGCTCAAATGATCTACCTGCCTCAGTCTCCCAAAGTGCTGGGACTACAGGCATGAGTCACTGTGCCATGGTGAGTCTTTTAAGACTCTTCTAGATGAGAAGAAGTCATCTGAGCTATGTACCATGACCAATTTGTGTGATATTGAAGGCTGTCTCCTTTCCATTTAAGGCCACTGGACAGACAGCCCTGAGGACTTTGCAGCAGTTTTGTCCTTTGCCTGCAGTTTTTGCACACATAATAGAGGAGGTTGATAAACATTAGGCAACATTGCCAGCCCATAGACAGACTCCTGATGTCAAGCCATACACCTGAAAACATCTGTTGTTGCTCTGCCCAGAATTGATCTTTAGCTCTAAAAGTAAAGTTTAGTTGGGTTTTAAAGCCAGCTACCAAATGGAAATAAATCGCCTGGCATTGTTGGTATCTCAGGACAGACAGCAATGATGACTTGGAGACATAAGCTCTTTTAAGATTTTTTTTTTTTTTTTTTTTGAGATGGAGTTTTGCTCTTGTTGCCTAGGCTGGAGGGCAATGGTGCGATCTTGGCTCATCGCAACCTCCACCTCCCGGGTTCAAGTGATTCTCCTGCCTCAGCCTCCAAGTAGCTGTTATTACAGGCATGTGCCACCGTACCCAGCTAATTTTGTATTTTTAGTAGAGATGGGGTTCACCATATTGGTCAGACTGGTCTTGAACTCCTGACCTCAGGTGATCTGCCCACCTTCAGCTTCCCAAAGCTCTGGGATTACAGGTGTGAGCCACTGAGCCCAGCCGCTCTTTAAGATTTTAAAAATACTTTATGGCTATTCTGCAGCTTGGAGGCAAGTACATTTCTGCAATCTGTCCAGCTCTTTTTTTAAGTCTGAGAAAAGAAATGAGCATTGGTTTCTGACAGGTGGGATTTGTTGGACAGTTGGAGTACTGTATATGATTTTTTTTTCTTGTGAAAGAGGGGGATTCAAACACACATATATTGAGTAAATAGTCTTGATTAACCGCCATCCTAGGCTCCTGCTAGCAGCCTTTATGGTTGCTCAGCTTACCTATTAATGAGTGATAATTAACAAAAAGCAGCAGCTGACTCAGGAAGAGTGTCATTGCTATGATTGTCAGAGTTAATATTTCCAAGGAATGTCTTAACCAAGAAGAAAGAGGAGTGATGACTAGGAAGCTATCATTATTGACTCAAAGAAAGAAGCTGTCAACATAATTACTTGGTCCATTTTTTTCTGAGAACATTTTTATCCCAAGAGGGAAAATGGCAGTATGAAAAGTGACTGAAATTTGAAAGGCCAGGTGCAGTGGCTCATGCCTGTAATCCCAGCACTTTGTAAGGCTGAGGTGGGAGGATCACTTGAGGCTAGGAGTTTGAGACCAGCTTGGCTACATGGCAAAACCTTGTCTACTAAAAATATAAAAATTAGGTGGGTGTGGTGATATGTGCCTGTAGTTCCAGCTACTCTTGAGGCTGAGGCAGAATTGCTTGAGCCTGGAAGGAGGAGGTTGCAGTGAGCCGAGATAATACCAGTGTGCTCCAGCCTGGGCAACAGAGTAAGACTCTGTCTCTCTCTCTCTCTCTCTCTCACACACACACACACACACATACACACACACACACAAAAGAAATTTGAAGAAAAAGTTAGAAAAACAAGTGTGCCTGCATTTCCAGGAAGTTATCTTTTATGCACTGTGTCATCTTGGTAAGCTCTGAGGTACTAGAACTGCTGCTCCCTTGGTGGAAACACCTGTGACTGTGATTCTAAGATGGTGCAAATGTTGGTGAGTATTAAAAAAATCAGCCTTGCCCTGTGGCTCTGCCTGTAATCCCAGCACTTTGGGAAGCGGAGGTGGGAGGATTGCTTGAGCCCAGGAATTCCAGACCAACCTGGGCAGCATAGTGAGACTTTTGTCTCCACAAAAAATAAAAACTAGCTGGGCATGGTGGTACATGCCTGTGGTCCCAGCGGCTGCAGAGGCTGAGGTGGGAGGATCACTTAAGCCTGGGAGGTTGAGGCTTCAGTGAGCCATGATCGCGCCACTGCACTCCAGCTTGGGTGACAGAGTGAGACCTTGTCTCAAAGAAAAGTTTAAAAAAAAAAAATCAGCCTGTCAGATTAGTTAAATCAGAGGTTTTGTTGTACCCCAAGAGAAACACTTATTGGAGCTACTTGTCTTTTACTCTTTTTTTTTTTTTTTTTTTTGAGACGGAGTTTCACTCTTGTTACCCAGGCTGGAATGCAATGGAGCGATCTCGGCTCACCGTAACCTCCGCCTCCTGGGTTCAGGCAATTCTCCTGCCTCAGCCTCCTGAGTAGCTGGGATTACAGGCACGCGCCACCATGCCCACCTAATTTTTTTGTATTTTTAGTAGAGACGGGGTTTCACCATGTTGACCGGGATGGTCTCGATCTCTTGACCTCGTGATCCACCCGCCTCGGCCTCCCAAAGTGCTGGGATTACAGGCTTGAGCCACCGCGCCTGGCATGTCTTTTACTCTTTATCCACTAGAAATAAAAGCCAGAAAAGGTGTGTCTGAGCCCACAGACCAGTCTTGTCTGGAGCTCATGAGTCAGTAGTGGATCACCTGCAAACACCTGTAGAAAAGACAGTATCACACTAGCCCAGACCAGCAGCAGCAGCCCAGACCAGCACACAGCTGCCATAGCCTTGGTCTGTCCTATCGTTTAAGAGATTGCTTAGGGGATTTTTTTTCTCTTTGGACTTAAGATGGTTTCTTGAGGTAATACTGCATTCTTCTAAATGGAGAAAGTCTTATAATTTGCTTTTGCTGAGGAATTTTGTTTTTTCATCTCAAAAAGACTGGGGCCAGGCGTGGTGGTCCCAACACTTTGGGAAGCCAAGGTGGATGAAATTGTGAGGTCAGGAGTTCAAGACCAGCCTGGCCAAGATGGTGAAACTCCATCTCTACTAAAAACTACAAAAATTAGCTGGGGACAGTGGCAGGGTCCTGTAGTCCAACTACTTGGAAGGCTGATGCAGGCAAATCAGTTGAACCTGGGCAGCAGAGGTTGCAGTGAGCCGAGGTCACTCCACTGCACTCCAGCCTAGGTGACAGTGAGACTCCGTCTCAAAAAAGAAAGAAAAAAAGACTGACTGGTCTATCTAGGAAATAGGTCATACCTTGAAATCTCTGATTACTAAAAAGACTCTCAGATTGATTCACTTGCATTGCTAAATGTTAAGGAAATTCATTCAATACAAGGTGACAGCCAAAGTGATTTCTTCACACCCTGCTTAAAAGTTGTCTAAAGCCAAGTTTAAATTTACCAAAGGTGCTAGAGAGTACCCAGAAAGAATAGCTCTGCTTCATTTCACCACTATTTGAAGACATGCTTTTACAGTTTCTAATAGTGTGAAATCCAAAAATACATAACCTTCACATCTAAATATCCTGACTCAATGTGAAATGTTGTGAATTACTACCTGAATCTGACTGCTTTTAATTTAGAACAATAAGTGTTTGTGTGACTCTGCTTTTAGAATCTTTCACTGCAAAGCATGCCAGGAAAAGTTGTATTTTAAGCATTTCCATTATCACTTTAAATTGTGAACATTTATAGATTGCAAGTGACAAGACAGGAAAATCAAGTTCTGGCTTCCAAATGGATGGTGTGGTCAATGTTTTGCTGAATTTTCTGTATGTTGTAAAATATTAATAATTTCTGAGTATACTTACTGTCTGAATAGTACATAAATATTACATCACTGCCATATTTTAATTTATGAAGATGAATTTGATTCACTGGACTACGTGGTTATATAACCTCTTTTCTTTTTTTCCCAGCATCAAAGCTAAGCCAGAAGATTTATCACATTTCCATCATCAGCTACAGGATTAGAAAGGAGGCTGGGATGAATGTGACATAGACCACAGCAGCTCTCTTAAGACTCCTGGTATTACCAACATAAAGAGGGAGGTGGAATGAGAAGGACTCTGTCTAGATTGGCTTTTTTAACATTCTCATTTTTCCAGTAGTTATCACTGTAAAAGTATGCATGAATATTTATGTATTTATAAATCATGCACTCTAAGATGAGTTCATCAGCATTGTAAAAGCCCTCTTTTCTATTTCCAGTTTTGGGTTTTTTTTTTCTTACCGACAAGGTCTCACTCTTGCCCTGGCAGGAATACAAAGGTGCAGTATTGGCTCATTGCAGCCTTGAACTCCTGGGCTCCTATTTTCAGTTTTTTTCTTTTTCTTTTTCTTTTTTTTTTTTTTTGAGATGGAGTCTTGCTCTGTCGCCCAGGCTGGATTGCAGTGTGGTGCGATATGTTTTAAGTTTTTAAATGTCAGAATTTTTGTTTAAAATGCCTTTTGGGGCTGGGCGAAGTGGCTTACGCTTGTAGTAATCCCAGCACTTTGGGAGGCTGAGGTAGGCAGATCACCTGAGGTAAACTGACAGCCAGCCTGGCCAACATGGTAAAACCCATCTCTACTAAAAATACAAAAAAAAAAAAAAAAAAAAAAAAAATTAGCTGGGGCTGGTGGCGGCCATCTGCAATCCCAGCTACCTGGGAGGCTGAGGCAGGAGAATTGCTTGAACCTGGGAGGCGGAGGTTGCGGTGAGCCAGGATCGCACCATTGTCACTCCAGTGACAAAAGTGAAACATTGTCTCAAAGAAAGAAACGTAATAAAATGCCTTTTTGTGGTTGATGTAATAATGGCAGGTAATTTTATAGTTTGGATTTTTCAGCAATGTACCTTTAAGTGTGATTCTGTTTTATGGCCTTTTACTTGCAAATCAGATCCTTTAATTCCTTATTTCCACTTGAAATTTATACCATACCTGTACCCAACTACCATACATACTTATTTTTTTTTTAAGAAATGAGAATCAGCCAGGCGCGGTGGCTCAAGCCTGTAATCCCAGCACTTTGGGAGGCTGAGGCAGGTGGATCACGAGGTCAAGAGATCGAGACCATACTGGTCAACATGGTGAAACCCCGTCTCTACTAAAATATACAAAAAATTAGCTGGGCATGGTGGCATGTGCCTGTAATCCCAGCTACTCAGGAGGCTGAGGCAGGAGAATTGCTTGAACCCAGGAGGCAGAGGATGCGGTGAGCCGAGATCGCGCCATTGCACTCCAGCCTGGGCAACAAGAGCGAAACTCCGTCTCAAAAAAAAAAAAAAAAAGAAAGAAAGAAATGAGAATCAAATTATAGACTTGAAGTACCCACCAGCTCATAGAAAGAGATAGCCTACCAAAAAGCATCTGGCCTTAGTTTAAAATGCATTGACACAGGAGTCCATTTTGTCTTGTCAACCAGTTGATTTGTAAATTCTCTGTCTCCCAGGCTGCTATTCTGAAGGAAGCCTGAGGCTTGGGTCTTCTAGACTTGAGGAACCACCTTGCATATAGCCTCTTAAGAAATACTTGTTGCAGGCCGGGCATGGTGGCTCACACCTGTAATCCCAGCACTTTGGGAGGCTGAGGCAGGTGGATTACCTGAGGTCAGGAGTTTGAGACCAGCCTGGCCAACACGGTGAAATCCTGTTTCTAGTAAAAATATAAAAATTAGCCAGGTGTGGTGACAGGTGCCTGTAATCCCAGCTACTTGGGAGGCTGAGGCAGGAAAATCGTTTGAACCAGGGAGGAGGAGGTTGCAGTGAGCTGAGATCACACCATTGCACTCCAGCCTGGGCAATAAGAGTGAGACTTCTCAAAAAAAAAAAAAAAGAAAAAAGAAAAAAACCCCAAACTTGTAGTCCTGCTTTGCTCTGAAATTTTGGTGTTAATGTTCCTCAACTAAGTGTCTGTTCTGTACTCCCTCTCTTCTCCTCTTTCTTGTTTAGTCCCTGCCATTAAGTAAATAGGTCTAGGCATAAATACTGGGAAAGCGGCTTCATTTGGGGGGCAGTAGTGTAAGTTTATCACAGGCAGGGTCACTCAACAGTGGTAGGCACTGTGGTTGGTACTAGTGATAGTGGCGAGTAAGACATTGGACCCTGCCTTAATCTACTGGTGAATGCAGGTAATTAACAACTAGAGGTGCTGAAAAGGAGAGCTTGTTGGAGGAGCATGGTGTCTGGGGACAGAGAAGTGGGACAGGACTCTTGCCCCCTGCTCGAGATGAAGGCCAGGCAACACAGCTTGGATGGGCCACATCTTTGTGAGGCTTCTAGCTGCAGTGTCCCTAGTGACCATGAAGGGTGGACTGAGTGAAGAAGTCAGGATCTAGGATCTATAATCTGAAGACAAGCCAGTTCTCTCCTGATCCTTACCTGGAAAATGTAGATCACAGAAAGACCTACCACAGAGAGCTGAGGCAAGGATTAGGTAGTAAATGTTAGAGGGCCAAGCACAATGTTCGTGAGCCTCTTCTTTTCCTCAAATGTAGCCTAGATTTTTTTTTTTTTTTCAGACGGAGTCTTACTCTGTCACCCAGGCTGGAGTGCAGTGATGCAATCCTGGCTCACTGCAACCTCCACCTCCCAGGTTCAAGCGATTCTTCTGCCTCAGCCTCACAAGTAGCTGGGACTACAGGTGCCTGCCATTATGCCTAGCTAATTTTTTGTATTTTTTTAGTAGAGACAGGGTTTCAGAACCATGTTGGCCAGGCTGGTCTCGAACTCCTGACCTTGTGATTCACCTGCCTCGGCCTCCCAAAGTGCTGGGATTACAAGCGTGAGCCACTGCTCCCGGCCTTTTTTCTATTCTGATTGTTTGTACAAATTTGAGAGGCCTAAAAAAATTAAATCATGGCCAGGCACAGTGGCTGCCACCTGTAATCCCAGCACTTTTGGAATCTGAAGCTAGTGGATCTTGAGGTCAGGAGTTTGAGACCAACCTAACCAACATGGCGAAACCCTGTCTCTCCTGAAAATACAAAAATTAGCCGGGCATGGTGTCAGGCGCCTGTAATCCCAGTTACTCGGGAGGCTGAGACAGGAAAATCACTTGAACCCATGAGGCAGAGGTTGCAGTGAGCTGAGATTGTACCCATTGCACTCCAGCCTGGGTGACAAGGGCAAGACTCCATCTCAAAAAAAAAAAAGTTAAATTACAAAATGGGTAAAAGTCAGTGTGACTATTTACTTTGAAAATGCATTTTCCTACAGTCTGAGTAGGAAGCTATTAAAAAAAAAGAAAATGCGTTTTTCATAGGTTTCTCATCATGAATTCCATTTCTTTATATGATACAATGCCCTGATAAAATAATAATAGCCTTTCAGTAATGCATCCGTTGCATAAAGCAAGTTTAAATTTTGGAGTGATTTCCCCTCAATTGCTTTTATTCATTTTTGGTTTTTTTTCAGAGCTAGGGTCTCTCACTCTATCACCCAGGCTGGAGTGCAGTGGCGCAATCATAGCTCACTGCAGCCTCAAACTCCTGGCCTCAAGCTATCCTCCTGCCTCAGCCTCGCGAAGTGCTAAGAATAGAGGCAGGAGCTACTAAGCCTGGCCTCCTTTAGTTTGTTTTTGAAGACTTCTCTAGTGAATTACAATCAAGTTGTATTTCTTTTTTCTTTTTTTTTTTTTTTTGAGACGGAGTTTCGCTCTTGTTACCCAGGCTGGAGTGCAATGGCGCGATCTCGGCTCACCGCAACCTCCGCCTCCTGGGTTCAGACAATTCTCCTGCCTCAGCCTCCTGAGTAGCTGGGATTACAGGCACGCGCCACCATGCCCAGCTAATTTTTTGTATTTTTAGTAGAGACGGGGGTTTCAACATGTTGACCAGGATGGTCTCGATCTCTTGACCTCGTGATCCACCCGTCTCGGCCTCCCAAAGTGCTGGGATTACAGGCTTGAGCCACCATGTCCGACAAGTTTTATTTCGATTTTCTAATAAGTTTTCTCTCATTGTTTCTTCACTTAAACTGCCTGTTTTTCTTCTTGTCTTTTACAACTTCTGTGGCTATCTCACATTTAAAATTAACCAGTATTTTAGAATTTCATCCTTTATATATTTCTGGAATAGAAAGTGGCAAAGAAATCTAAATGTCTAAATTTCAGCAATACTTGTGGTAAAGGTAAAATGGCCCACTGTTAGCCTTGAAACAGGACCTCATATCACATAGAAGTTCATATACAGTCTTACTGAAGACTTGGAGTGAAGATAGAGTGAGATCATAGGAAGGGACAAGAAATAAATACAAGAACCTTTTTTTAAAAAAATCCAAACTACCCCAGAAAACTGCTTTCTGAAAGATTCTTTAGTGTCTGTGGACCACCTGATCAATCCTCTGCTTTATCAGAGAGGTAAGGATTCTGTCTGAACTCAGGATCCATTTGGATCAGTGGCCTACATATAGACATGAGGAGGAATCACGTTAACTGTCACTGCCCATCCTCTGATGCTTTGCAGTCTGTAATTAAATACTATCCCATCTAAAATATGAGAATTGTGTTACCCTAAATGTCAGATAATTTGGTGTTTCCTAGTTCTCCAGCTCTAAAGAATCTATGCTGGGTATCCCCTTATGTCTGGAGGAGACTTTCAGCTTCTGGTATCTGAGACCTGTGTGCCCTATAACATCTAGTTGCGGCTGTTATTCTTGACTAGTTTAGGGATGCCTTTCTGTAGGAATAAGAGTAAACACATCTTCAGAGGCAAGAGTTTTAGAACTTATTAAAGATTTTTGGTCAAGCCGGGCGCAGTGGCTCAAGCCTGTAATCCCAGCACTTTGGGAGGCTGAGGCGGGTGGATCACGAGGTCAAGAGATCGAGACCATCCTGGTCAACATGGTGAAACCCCGTCTCTACTAAAAATACAAAAAAAAAAAAATTAGCTGGGCATGGTGGCACGTGCCTGTAATCCCAGCTACTCAGGAGGCTGAGGCAGGAGAATTGCTTGAACCCAGGAGGCGGAGGTTGCGGTGAGCCGAGATCGCGCCATTGCACTCAAGCCTGGGTAACAAGAGTGAGACTCCGTCTCAAAAAAAAAAAAAGACTTTTGGTCATATGGAAACTTCATTCAACAAATATTGAATGCACACGTAAAAGCTCTACTGTCATTGGGTATGTGTATCTGTGTGTGTGTGTGTGTGTGTGTGTGTGTGTGTGTGTACATATATATATGCAATGAAAAACCAGGCAAGATTGTTCCTTCCCCAAAGTTCAGTCTGCCTGTTTTTTTTGTTTGTTTTTTGTTTTTTTTTTTTAAATTAGAGACAAGGCCTTGCTATGTTGCCCAGGCTAGAGTACAGTGACTGTTCACAGGTGCAGTCACAGTACACTACAGCCTTGATCTCTGGGCCTCAAGCCATCTTCCTACCTCAGGCATTGGAGTAGCTGGGATTACAGATGCGTGTGTGCACAGCTTACTCTGCCTTTTCTAAAGTTGGGCCTCCTAGGGCTAGGTAGTGGTGGTGTTGGCTACCCTTCTCATTTTGGTTTGGAAGGTTTTCACAATGACTGCAATAGGGTCAGAGTCCTCTGCATGTGGTCCTGTCAGTGATGAATGTGGGCCTGAGACCTGCTCATCAACACACACTGGACCAAATGAGGAGGTGCGGTAAAAAGACTACCATCTGAGGCCAGGCATGGCGGCTCACTCCTGTAATCCAAGCACTTTGGGAGGCCGAGGCAGGTGGATCACGAGGTCAGGAGTTCGAGACCAGCCTGACCAACATGGTGAAACCCCATCTCTATTAAAAATACAAAAATTGGCTGGGTGCGGTGGCTCAAGCCTGTAATCCCAGCACTTTGGGAGGC